CCGTGCACTCCTCTCAACCTCCGCTACCTATACAGATTCCCAATTTCGCACCTCGGACATTCTTGGTCGGACCGCAATTCTGATCCACCAGAATTCAAACATAAAGTCAACAAGAAAACAATGGTCCTATGCCTTTTGTCTGACACAATTTTTCTAGTACAAAATGCATATATAACTACAAAAAGCTGCAATTCCTAGTAATTTTATCTAGCTTTAACATGTGTATATTATTTTCATAAAAATTAAGAAAATTAATATCCTAATTGAAAACTAGATGAGCTTATCATCATTTGCCAAATTTTCCCACTGATTTAGTAGGGAGTATATGCAACCAGATGACTGAAAGGAAAAAAAAAAAAAAAGCATCAAACTATAGCAAAATCTGAAATACTCAAATGAAGAATTCTCCAAAAATTGGCAAAAAAAAGAATTGGGTGAAGAAAAAAAAACCTGTTTACGAGAGGAGATAACAACAGAAGCACCTTCTAAAGCAAGCCTCTCAGCAATACTAAAACCAATACCCTGTGTTGAAGCTGTGACAATCACCACTTTCCCTTCAAATCTTTTTCCAATTTTCTCCATTGATATATTTGATTAGATGCTTAACGTTTTTGACAATATAATATAGAAAGAAGTAGAGTACTAGTATAAGTCAATAGGAGCAAGCCAAAACTGATTTCTTTTCTAGGGAAGTGGAATAGTAGTAGTAATTGTTTTTCTTCTTGGAAAGTCGGGGATATTTCTTTCTTTTCAGATTTGGAGCTTTTAACTTGAGTCGTCTTTTGAAAAATATATTTATATATTAAGTTTAAAAATAATAAAATATTAAATTTTTCTTTGGCCTAGTAATTATAAAAACGGTTACACGCCAACAAGTAATTAAACTCAAAATCTTAATTCTCAAACGTATTAAGCTACGTCTATTGAAACTAAATTATTTTTTACTAGTAAGACACAAGGTATTCTATCTAGCGATTATCAGTAGCAAAGTAAAATGTATTGAATATGTGTTCCTTTCGTATGATTTAGATTTATTTTTTTGAATATTTAATCTTCTATAGACTTTATTCTTGAGTCTCAACTTGGTTAATATCTTTCCACTCGTGTGATTTATATTTTTTTTTTATCTTTGCTTAGTTTCTTTTACGTTGCTATAGAATAGTTGATGGATCTATACTCTGGCCATCTTTCATATTTCATTAATTCATCACCCTTTAAAAAGTTAAAATATCTAGAGAGTTTTGCTAAGTCCTATAAAAGTACGTATGCTATTGGATTTTACTTCTAGTAGTGACTTTTACATGATATTAAAAAAACAAAAATTAACCGAACCGTACTAATATCAAAGAGAAACCGATATGATTGGGACGGTTTGTAAAAATTTAATTTTGGTTGTACATAATAGAATAACCGAAGGATCAAATATTTATTAATAAAGTGGTCCCTACATGTAATTGTCAATGACCAATGTCTGTACGTAATAAAGAGATGCTAAGGTCAATGAATTGGAGAACTACTTGACCAAACACTCCATTTATTACATGTATGAAGATTTATAGTTTTAAGAATTAAAACTCTGAAAAATAAAATTTAGCGAGGCAGTCAAGCTGTTCTAGTCTAGTTCTAATATATACTTATTCTATTTTAAAAAGAATGAACATGTTGCTATTTGAGGAGTCAAAAAAAACTTTTAAACATATTTTTATAAATAATTTTGAAATATTTTAAATTGTTAATTAACTATTGTAACTTATAATAATTTTATGAAATGAATATTAAGAGAACTCAAGATTTGGCGTGGGGTCAATTCAGAGAGGTTTTCTTTCACTTTCTAGGAGATACCAATGAGCTTTGGACTAGCCAGGCTACTACAGACAAGGATACATCCATTTTGCTTCCATTGGAACAAAACCAAAAAAAGACAATATTCTCTTTCTTAGACATTGAATTATATTTTCTTTGCTACACAATACGGTGAGATTGATAAAATTCCTTCACTCTTAAAGATTTTGAGTTTAGGTAAAAATAAGTGGCCCCAGATATTAACGTAGAAAATTAGAGAGAGAAGCTTGCTTCTCTCTACTCATTCCTGCCAAAAGCCTATTTACAACAAACTCAAAGCCACCCAATCGGCACCCAAACAATAATATCAATCCCCCCAAAGCTACCTGATATCCAACAATCTCAGTTCAAAGTCCTCTTGAACAGAATAATTCCTATAAGGATAAGTTGCTTGGAAAAATCACAAGCACTTTAGTGGATTTGAGCGATCCTAATTGCTCACTCTCACCCATGGAGGTGCAACACACCCCAAATAAACAGTGTACTCACGAGGGAGAAGGAAGGCAAGTTCAACAAATAATTTTGACAAACCAAGATATCAAACGAATCTATGAACCATGGAAATTCTCAGTTATAATAAATTCATAGGGAAAAGAATTCTCCACCACTACCTAAAATCAAAGGTTCAAGCCCTGTGGAGACCTACTGAAAATATTTCCCTGATAGACCTCGGAGAGGACTACTACACGGTTAAATTCAATAAGGAAGAAAGTGCAAAAAAAGCACTCCAAAACGGACCATGGTTCATTAATGGCTTCTTCCTCTCAGTCCAAAAATGGACCCCCAACTTTGTAGCCACACAAGCAACCCAAAGTTACACAACTATTTGGGTGAGATTACCACAACTTCCAACGAAATTTTACGATGGTATTATACTTACAAAGATTGAAAATGCTATTGGTAAATTGCTAAAAATCGATGCTTGTACATCCTCCACCATTAAAGGATGTTACGCAAGGCTATGTGTACAATTACCACTGGAGGAAAAAGTCCAATCTCATATCCTCATTGGATCACACAAGCAGACTATATTATATGAAGGGGATAATATTCTATGCAAATTAAGGGAGAGCCCCAAGCGGACGGTCTCCTTCCCCAAGAAAAAGAAATCAATAATTAAACCAAGCATGCAGGTAGGATTTACAACAACTAAAATCCCAGGTACAAATGTCAGAATATTTGATGCTTCAACGGTTAATTTTTTTAACACTCAGCATTTGAAATATGTGGAAAAAAACTCTATCTCCCACCATACTCTTGAAAATTCAAAAAACCACAATGAACCCCAATTAGAGTCAACTACGATCAATAATACTAATACAAAAAATATTAACAACTCTACTAACAATAATTATCGTGTACTTAACAACGAGCACATGGATTCCAACCAAACCAGAGGTAAAAAAATACCACCACAGTTTTGCATGGAAAAAATTACCCAAAGCAGACAGGTGGAGTAAACGTGTCGTCTTTGGACACAAACTCTATTGTAAACCTCCAAATAATAACACCTAGTAATCAAGAGTCTAAACAAGCTACCAGTGACCCTTCATCCCCCAATAAAAAATTCTCTAAAACTCTACACCACTAGTAACTCCTCCCTATAATCATAATCAGATAAAAAATCTTCTAAAAACAGATTGCATGCCTACTAATAACCACTCCCATGAAGAACACTTGGAAAAAAGGGAACACCAAATGGCGGATGTGATCTCTACTAGGGATTTTGTTAAAGCCCATACGCAAAACTCTTCCTATTCCATGCAAATAGACTCCATAATTGCTAACTCCTCAATTCCACCATCGGAATCCATAGCTACTAGCCCTCACGAAGTTATATTAAACACTCACCATGCCTCGAGCTCCACTCACATTGAGAAGGAGATACAGGCTAATCCAAATCCAACGTCTTCATCGTCCATATCCAATGGACAACTTACCTCCCCTACCACCTCAACTCCCCTCTCAACCAGTGATATACACTCAACCACCAAATTCACCCAACCACCAACCACAATCCTGGTTAGAACTGGGTCTCATGGGTCGTGCAATTTCTTTCAACCTCCAGATCAACGGGCAGGACTCAGTCTTCATTATCCAAAATACCAACTACCTTGCCCAGTTGATCTGGGAGGGCATGCATCTTGCCATGACAAATTATATCAATCAGATGTGGACAACCAACATCTTACAACCACTGGCCCCTTCTCTGAACCAAAATCTAACCAACAACATGCAAGAGATATGGAATATATCAGGGACTCCCACCAATGTGATGCCCCAGAATATCCCACTCAACCTACCCTTCTTTGCTGCAGAAGAGTTGTCCATAATGAACCCCATTTTCACCCCATGGGCAGTGCAACACCCTCCTGCATAACAAGTTCCTCCTTAGAACCCCCCCCCCCCCCACCACAAATGCAGGCCCATGCACAACAGATGGACAGGCAAAATCAAGAGGAAAACCACGAGGAAGAGGAAGAAGCACTTTCACATCATGGAGAACCCAGGGTGGCATTCTCAAACCTAAGCGAAGTAAAAATACTAATCTTCAAGGAATGGCTAGACAAGAAGTGCATCATTAGTTGTCCACTCACAATGTTCAAATGCTCGATGGATATAGGACCCCCACGCGATCCCACAGTCGGAAAGAATGTATCCTAGTGCCCTCCCACAAAAGGAACAATGCAACAACATCGAGGGAGAACAATGCAACAACATCGAGGGAGAACAACCAAACACCATCCAACCAGTCAATAATGAATCAACCAATTAATTTCATAATCTGGAATGTCCGGGGAGCAAACAATGCAAACTTTCGTCGAAACTTTAGAGAAATTATGGATACTCATAGGCCTAGCATGGTTGCTTTGTTAGAAACAAGAATGACCAACCACCTCTCTGTCACGACCCAAACCGAAGGGCCGCGACGGGCACCCGGTGCCTTACTCAACCGCGTACCAACGTAACATATCTTTCTTATCATACTATCAAGGGTAAATGAGATAGAAAACATGTCATGAGATAACAAGAATAAAACATAAGGGAATACTCAACATATGATGACCGAACATGATATACAAACTTATACATGTGACATACGGGCCTATAAGGCCGACATGACCATTTGTAAACTCAAGACATAGGCCGACAAGGCCATACAAGTATCCATACACCTGACATCTGTCTACAAGCCTCTAAGAGTACATAAAATCATAAAGGTCGGGACAGGGCCCCGCCATACCAATCAATACATATCCAAAGCATACTGACCAAATAGGCAACTCCGGAGCAAGTGGAGTACACCAACACCTTCGCTGAGCTGATAGCCTACTAGGAGGAATGTCAACCTATCTATCGGGACCTGCGGGCATGAAACGCAGC